AAGACCACTGTTTGAGATCTATTATTCAAAATTTCTCCTTTCTCCAGTGGAGCTGCCTTCGGAAATCTCTTACTCAGAAATCCTCATCTCCCCTGTGAAGTTGCCTTATCAAGAAATCTCCTATTCAAGAATTCTCATTTTCCAATAGAGTTGTTTCATCGAAAGTACTTATTCACAAATTCTCTCTTCTCCCAATGGATATCAATCCTGGATGTTAATAAGTATTGCTTCCCCAAAAGAGTACGCTATTATGGTTGCTAGCCCCAGGATAGAGCATCAAAGCAGGATTTTGTTCTGATTGAAGCATATTCTCATTCCCCAGTGGAGCTGAAGATCCTCATATTTCCAGCAATAACATATCTTCTAAGGTCGTTTACCCCAGCATGGATCTTTATATCCTTGGCAGTATAAGGGCTCTTTATCCCTAGTGATAGAGTATGTATGAAATATTTCCTCAGTCGAGTTCTGAACCTCAAGCTTATGGTTCAAAGATACCCTCCTCTTCCCCAAGTAAAGATTGGTACTCCCCAGCGGTAGTATCTCCGGTGTGGTCTGGTTAGAATTCTTTTATTTAAGAATTTTCATGTTTCCCCAGTCGAAATCGCTTTCACTGAGGACTTACATCAGAAGGTCCCAACTCCCATAAATGTTCTCTTTATCCGTGGAAAGAGATATTCGATTTTTTTTCTCCAGAAGGTTAAGAGGTGGAACACATGTCAAGATTTCTTATGCACTGCAATTTATTTTTGCAGTATTCTTCCCACGAAGTTATCCCCAGTGAGAAATTGACGAGTTATCAAACAAAAGTCAATTTTGATCTGATCTTCTCTAGCAGAATTTGCAATTTATTTTTGCGAGTTTTATCAGGGTTTGGCCTATGGATATTGGTCTTTTCGTTTCACCAATCTGGGGCAGTCAAGTTGAGGATCGATCTCTCAAAGTTCCACTACTCTGGGGCAGAATGTCAATGATGGTACGAACACCCTGAAGCCCTCTCGAGGAATTGTCGTTCACTCTGTAAGTTGCAGCTTGTCAGTACCCATGCAAGAGCATTATCTCTAACTTTTGAACTTTATAATAGGGAATTCCCCATAGAGTTAGTTCTCCTTAGCATTGTCATATGAGGGATTCTCGAGGCCGATGAGGTTTTTTGGATACTTTCATTCCTCAACCAAGTCTGGATGAGAATTATCTCGTTTCTTAATAAAGACTTTTCCCAGTGGAGTTTACCTTCCTATTTGAATTATCATTGACGTTTGCATTCAGAAATTCTCATTTTCCCATCTAGGTTGTGACTTGGGGCATTTAATATCAAAAGAATCTTTTATCATCCTCAGTAGGGTTGATGTTGGATGAGATTTCCGCTTCCCCAGTAAAGTCGATATTGTTTGACTATCTTCATGGTCTTTTTTATGACTGCATATCCAAGGTTCCTTTAATCCTTGGCAGTCGGGTTCTTTGTGAAGAAATCCATGGCAGAAGCATTCCCAGCGGGGGTTTCCACTTTTAGTGTTTTGTATCTATTATCCCTAGTAAAATACTCCTTGGCAGAGTTTTATATCCTTAGTGGATTTTTGTTTCCTCAGCAGATTTTTGTTGCCCAGAAATCTTTTTCAAGAAAAGGGTTTCATTCTGAGACTTCAAGTTTGAAGATGTCTCATGTCCCCAATGGAGTTGCTTAGATTAGAATTCAAAGTCTAAAGAAGTTTCAACTCCCTAGCGGAGTTGCCAATTAGAGATTCCTCGTCCTGATCTCTCATTTCACAGCTAATTGGTTACTTGGGGCATCTTTATTGAAGTATCTTTCCTTAGCCTTAGTGTAGTCATTGCTGGTCGATTAATTGAGATTTTGTTAATATTCGGAAAACAGTAGAGGACTTTTTGATGGAAGTTTCCCCAGCGAGGGTTTTGATTCCCATGTCTGGTTTGTCATCTTGGTGTCATCCTCAACACGTCTGCACACCGTCTTTTCCATAGATTACAGTCCTACCCTGATCTTTTCCCACAACGCCCAATCTTCATTTGGCATTCCTTATGGAAGTTGATCAGTTTCAACCCGATCTTCTCAAACAGAGTTCGCAATTTATTTTTGCAACTCTTCTCAGTGTTTGTAGCTTGTTCCTACTGGTTACTCAGTTGTTACTCCCTAAGGAGTTTCAGCTCTTCAAGGGTTCCTCTCCAGTGGTTCCTCACATTTTCTCTTCTCCAATAGAGTTTGCAATTTACATTTGCAACTCCTCTCAGTGTTTGTAGCCTATTTCTACTAGTTACTCAGTTGTTACTCCCCACAGAGTTTCAGCTCTTCAAGGGTTACTCTCCAGCAGTTCCTCATATTTTCTCTTCTCCAGTAGATTTTGAAATTTATTTTTGTAAGTTAGACAAGTTCTGACTTCTTGGTTGTTGGCTTCTCGTTTGACCATTCCCCAATGAAACATTTAAACATGCATCATTGCATTACATCTACCAAAACGTGTAGCATTTCCATTATATGGAGCATTACACTATAAAACAATTTAAACATGCATCAGAACATAAGCCATTACTGTTTCTATTTCCCCCATTGAATTTCTAATATTCCGGATTATATCCCCAACGAGGTCTTCATCCTCAGTATCTCAGTTTCACCCATCACAAATATCCTTTTGATATTAATAATTTGAATGGTTGAGTGTCTACTCTTGATTGTAGTTCAATTTTTACCCTGACGCAATTTTCTCAGGTTTAGTCTACACTATCCTCATCAGTTCATTCCAATGTCTATTGATGTGCCTTTTGAATACCAGTTTCGTCCTGATATTCGCTTTCAAAAGGTTTTTAGTTGTACGCCCTAATCACCTTGCTTTGGGTCGAGCTTTGAGTTTCGTCTCCTCACCCACACATGAAATCTAGTTTCATCTTGGTATTCATCTAGTTTAGTTTCGTCTCGTTTTGTTTTCATACCTTGGATGCTTTATCGGTTTTCATTTACTGAGTCTCTTTGCAGTGTTCGTACTGAGTCCCTGGTTGAAGTCAGTCTCTTTTTTTCCTTGGATTTTTCTATCAGTTTTCATTACTGTTTATCCATTGATCTGAGGCTAGCAGGTGCTCTGAGAAACATGCGCTCTTATCACTTTGCTTTGGGTTGAGTTTCGATCTCATCGCCTGTGCATGAAATCTAGTTTTGTCCTGGTACTTATCTAGTTTAGTTTCGTCTAACTAGTTATAATGAGTTGAGTTTCGTCTCGTTTTGTTTTTATACCTTGGACCCTTTACCGGTTTTCGTTTGCTGAGTCTCTTTGCAGTGTTCGTACTACGTCCCTGGTTGAAATCAGTCTCTTTTGTTCCTTGGATTCTTCTATCAGTTTTCATTACTGTTTATCCATTGTTAAGAGACCAGTGGGTGCTCTGAGAAACATGCACTCTCACCACTTTTGCTATGGTTCGAGTTTTGCCTCGTTACCTGTGCGTGAAATCCAATTTCGTCCTGGTACTCATCTAGTTTAGTTTCACCTAACTAGTTTTTATGGGTCAAGTTTCATCTCGTTTTGTTCCTCACTCCTGGGATTCTTTCAGCTCCTTCATACTGTCTATATTAGGTTGATATTAGCAGGTGCTCCTAGAATCACGCAATCTAGCAACCTTGCCCTGCGTACTTTTCCAGAGTTTAGTTTCGCCTATTCTCGGTGGTTCGATTCTTATCTCACCCCTTTTTTCTGGTCCAATTTTATCCTAGCACATTTATTCCGAAGTTTAGTTTCGTCTGCTCTTCTAAGTTTTAGTTTTGTTTCAATTTTGTTAAAATCTGCGTTACAACTTCATTCTGATGCATGTCTTGGGAGGTCCAATGTTCATTAAACCCTTTGTTTGATAAATCTAATTTCGTTTGGTATCTTCTAAATCCCGCGCCTGTTGGAATTCTTTGTCTTTGGGGGGTTCTACTTCTTCTTCAAGAGTGTAAATTTTTGGGTTCTCTTGTATTCAATCATCTTCAACTACGAACGCTCGAAAGTTGTCACTTTTCTCACTTATCCGGTTAAAGATAATTGAATAGGGGCAGCTGTTGCACCCCAAAACTTACCCTCTTGATTTAGGCTTATGTTTCATCATAAACATCATATTGTATTGCATTCATACATTATGGTGGGATCAAAGTACTTTGGTTATCAAGTCTTCCTCAAGCTTTGGAAGTTGATTGTACTGACAAGTTGCTCAAGGAGAGCCTTATCATCTTAACCTCTGGATCTTTCAAGTCCCAAAGGTATCTCATATCTCAAGATATCTTATCCATCTCATTGGATCATCAGAAGATTGAAGATTGTTTTGATTTTAAAGGGAATCACATTTCTGGGAATCATCAGTCAAAATAGGGTTTTTGAAGTATGGTTATTAGGAACCTCTTCTTCAAAGGCTATTATCAGTCCAATTTCATCAATGCCAATGATTAAGGTTTATTTCTCTATGATTGATCAGTGATTGAAGTTTTTCATCTACTATGCTTCAATTGAGGTTCTTTGAATTGGAATTAACTTTGTGGCTACCCTAATAAGTTTTTCTTTAGTACCTCGAGCTTGAATTTCATTTGAATATTTCTCCTAATTACTTGTGTTGCAAGTCAAAACCAGATGGTTTTCTTTTCAAAAAAACTCAAGAGGCTTTAATTAAGGCATTTATGGAATCCAACATGGTGATCTGTGCATTAATATATGTTTAATGACATGGTTCCTGCAGGCATATATCCTAATTTAGTTCTTTCTATTATGTTAATTGATTGTTTATTGAAGTCCAGAATGCATGATGATGCAATTGAAATTTTTCATCGGTTGTCGGGAAAAAAAATATGAAACCTGATTTGTATACCCTTAATTATTGTCTATAGTTTGTCAGTTTGAACGGTTTGATCTCTTACCCAAAATAGTCTAAGCTTGCGGATATATAGGTGGTGATTTAGTGTTTTGTAATGTTGTTTTAAGCTCTTTTATTAAGTCTGGTTTTTTTCTTGTGCTCTTAAGTACTATGAGAATATGATTGTTAAAGGTTTTAAGCCGGATAAATATAGTAATGCTGGGCTACTAAGTTCACTTTATGCTGAGAGAAGAATTGATGAAGCAATTTATGTTTATCGAAGTAGTGCTATGATGTATCACACGAATGATGCTCTCATCCATACTGTGTTAATGCGTGGGATTATAAATGCTGGTCAGTATCACTTGGCTGCCCTTTTTTTTAGATCAGCAGCAGTCCAAAAGCGTCCGTTTGACAGTGGAGCATATGTTGCTGGCATGCGTGCACAACTTAGAAGTGGATTAACTCTAGAGACGAACACATTGTTTCACTGGATGAAGAAAAATGGTTTGGAACCTAATGTTCAGACATTTATTATGATTCTTTTCAGTACATTAAAAGGAAAAGTTCTCCAAAAGATTAAACTGTTAATGAAAGAGATGATTGATTCGAGAATTGATTTAGGTGACATAAATTTCTTCAACTTGTGTAACTTAAAATGTAGGTTGGAGTGTGTTGGCTGAAATGAGACATTTGGTTTTATTATCTACCAAGGTGTTGTACGCCTAAGTTATGGCAGGCATCCTAAAAGTGTAAAGGATAATTATAAACATTATGCTGAAATTGATGCAGGTGCAATCTAGTTTTGGATTCAATAAGTCCTGAAGATATGTTACATTACAAAAGGGGAGACAAGATTGACATACGAGTCGCAGGTCAGGTTAAGCTCATATCATACATGGATGCAGTTTGAAAAAAAATCGTCATCCAATATCATTCATTAAAAAGGCTGAAAAATTGCATATCATGAATACAAGTCTAGGCTAACACATAAGCACATTAGTTTAATCCCCATTAGAAAATCCAAACTGCGCACAAACCATTTTAGACATTCCAGCCTTGTAGATGAACTCATATTGAATAAAGGCTTAGCATTGAGCTTCGATGTTATGTTCGTTTGTCGTATTCAGTGAAAAAACAATTCACAACCAAGCCAATTCAAAACCAGTTCCAAACAAAACTAAACCAGTTGCCTGCATATTTAAATTATAAAATAAAATTAGAAAGAAAATTAGACGTGAGGAGGAATTTGCAAAAGGTGATTAAATTAGAAAATCGTGAAAATTAACAGCTCAGCAATTTATCCAAGGCTTCTCAAGAAAGTTTCACAAACTCAATCCTGACCATTCAAATTCTTTAACCGAAAATCAAAACCAACAGCCAAGATTGAATCAAGTTGTAACTAACTTCTACTGATAACAAAAATATAAAAAAGAGCCATCACCTTGCATCGTGATTCATTCTTCAATCACAGATGAATCACTCTCCATCTTCACCTTCATCTTCCAAAACACTGTTGTACCCCAAATTTTCCCTCTCATTTCTCAAGTAATCTCTTACAAGATCTCCTTTGGTTCAAGACTGCACAAGGGTTGATCAGCTCAAGATACCTCCTCTAACACTGATGAATGAAAATTAGGGTTTGAGATTTCACAAGGACAAATGGACTTTTAATTCCCCATATGACTTTCATGGATCATTTTGGACTCTCAAGATCGCTCATGTCAAGTTTCAAGTCTTAGATCACATTTTTGCTCAGTCAATTGATTAGTTGACCTAAAATCAGTTGTATTGGGGAAAAAGGTCAACTATGGTCAATTTATAGTAAAACTTCATAATTTTTTATTCATGTCAACATCATGAACTCATATATGTCATTTGATCAAGTTTGGATCATAATTCCATAAGAAATTTGATCAGATCATAAAAAGGGCAAAATGGTCAAAATTAAGGTTTTGGCTGAGAAGGTGCAATTTCTGATTTTTGACCTAGCAAATGACTAATTTGTTTGAGACATGTTCTCAAGGATTAAAATTCTTAATTTTTACCTATTTTAATGGCTCAAAACATTGCTCAAGATCAATTGGTTGACAGATGAATTTCAGTCAACTGATGAAAAGTCAACTGTATACTGAAAAGTTAAACTTTGACTTTTTGGTCAAAATCAAGTATCAAAGATCACAATTCATAAAAACATGTCAAAATATGAAACTTGTTCATCAATAAATCAAAAAGTCAAGATTTCATTTTGAAAAGTCAAAATTTCTAAACTTAGAAATTTTTCCAAGTGTTGAAAATTTCATATTTTTCATAACTTTGAGCCAATTTTTCACCATGATGCAAAATGATTCAAAGGAAACTTACAACATGAAAGTTGTATATCTCAATGAGATCTAAAACATTTTAGAACATAAATTCTCCTAAAAATGCATGGATTTCAAGTTATGATTTTGTGAATACATGTTCATGAAACTTTGAAACTTGTGAAATTTTGTCCTAGTTTAGGCAGGATTTTGACCTAACTTCATGGCAATTTTTCATATAGTTCCAAGATGAATTTCCAAAAATTTCCAACATAGGGTTTGTAGAGGATGTTACAAGATTTCCAAAATGTCAAAGAACTCATTGAGATCATATTTGAGCAAGGAGAATCGAAGGCAAGAAGTTAGGGTTTCATTCTCTTGAATTACAAGTCATTTCTTGATGAACACATAATTGAATTTCAATGTTAGGCTACATAATCTTACTTTTCAGGCCTTCTAACTTGTGTATCTATCCATCATTAATGGATTAAATAAACTTTTGAGCTATAATCCAAGTGGTTTAAGCTTTATCCAATTCACATTGCCATTTTGGGAAGAAAGTGAAGAATACCATTCTTGAAAAGTAAGCTTTATGCAAAAAGTAAATTCTTGAGCCTCTAACTTGTTCCCTCTGATCACACTCCATCTACAAAGTCATAAGCAAGTGTGTTTAAAGCATAACCACTATATCTTAGCAAGTACACAAGACTTTGAAACTTGGATTTCTCAAAAATCACATGTTATGCTAAAACTTGTGATTTTTAATTCTGATCAACAACAAGCTTCCAAACTTATTGCTTATAAATAGATTCACTATTTCTGAGCTAGACCACGAGCTTGAACACCCTGAAACACTCCCAAACTCCCTCAAATCATAAATTTCACAAAAACTCCATTGTGGCACAGTTTCTGACCTTGAACTCCAAACTCATATTCCCTCGTGCGTTCTTTGGCCTTTTAGCCCCTAAAACTTCCTTACATTAAATACAAACCATCCCACACCCTGTTACACGATTGTAACATCATCTTCATCAACTTCCATAGCTAAAAACAGAGCATTGCAGGTTGAGTACTCCAAGTCATTTCAGCCACTCTAAACTCAAGCTAAGCATTGCATTAGCTTCCTAGAGACTCAAGAAAGCTAACCTGATCATTGCAGCACATTGAATCAAGCTCAAACTCATTTCATGATTTCCAGTTTTGAGGTATTTTTCTTGAACTTCCATCTTCTCATTTAGGCATTGTTAGGATTGCATTTGTGAAGATAAAGTATAGACATCATTGCCCTGAAGTTGTACATGTCCATAAATTTCATTTATTTTGATTGAGCTAGGAGAATTTGGAGTTTGAACTTGCTGAAATATTTAGGTCAGAATTTGGTACTTTTAGAAATTCATGTTCATCTTTGATTTATAGCTTTAGTTATTTATATGGTTGGATTTGTGAGAAAAAATGGAACAACTTTCATGTTTATATTTTCCATTTTGGTTGAGAGATGAAGAAGTTACAGGTTTTAAAAATCATGTTCAGTTTTTTGGCAGGAGGAAGAAGATGAAGTTGGCCTCCTGACTTGTTTTCAATTATATATTTATGGTTTTGTATTAATGAACGGATATATAGCCACCAGAGTGATAAAGTGCGCGCCTGTTAACCTTTGGGACCTGGGTTCGAGCCCCAATGGTACCCTTTTGCTTTTTTTCCACATTTTTCTTCCATTTTTTATTTTAGCAAGTGCATGGGCTTCCCCCCCCCCCCCCCCTTTGGGCTTTTGTTTTTTTGCTGACCTCTAACCCCTATTTACTTTTGCACCCCTGACCCTTTATTTTCTTTATTATTTCATTTTTTCTTTTTCTTTATTTTATTTTCATTTCGTATTATTTTTATTATTAACATTATTATTATTATTATTATTATTATTATTTTTATTATAAAAAAATATTAAAAAATTTTTATTTTATTATTTACACTTATATATTTTATTTTTCTTCATAAAACAAAAGAACAAAAACATTTTCTTTTAATAAATTAATTTCTTTTTTAATTAATGTTTAGATAATTAGGTTTAATTATTATAGTATTCTCTTGTAAATTAAAATTAATTTAGAACTTAGGTTTATTTTAATTGATTAAGCTTCATTTTATTTTTATTAATTTAAAACCTTTTCATAAAAAACCCTAAAAACATTTTTAACTTAATTTCTTTCTTAATTAATTTAGGTTTAACTTTTGCTTATTTTTTAGTTAATCATCTCTCTTAATTAGGTTAAAACCCTTTCATGAAAACCAAACAAAAATCATTTCTTTATCCATTTAAATTTTTGCATTTTATTTTCAATTTTTGTACATTATTCAATATGGTTGTAATAGATAATTAGGTTTAATTTTCTTGCAAAATCTCCATTTGTAAATTTGTACACCCCCTTCCCTAATGATGTAATAGCTTAGTATTTTTACTTTCTGCAATTTATCACTTTATATGAATGCTAGTAATTAGGGTTTGTATGGAAAGATAGAATCAACAAGTTAGCAAACCCTAATACAAGATAAATAATGCATGTAAATCAACACGTTTGCACACTTGCACCCTTAGGGTAATTTCACTTTGTTGCCTTACCAAAATGGCCATGTTATGCATGTGGGGTATCTTAGCAAAAACAAATCAAAAATACAAGATCATTGTCTCTCGATGACGATATCAATGTTTCCTTTCAAAATGATCTTAGTCCCTCAAATAGAATTGCTAAGATATCTTACAACATTGCTATCATGACTATACAATGACCCATGTCCGTCCCTTTACATCCAAAGATAAGGCTTCTTACCAAATCAATGGTAAGATAGCAATATCAAAGGAAAGGAAGAAATGAACTAAGACTTTTGAGTAGGTAGATTGTTCCTAGTTGCTTGCTCAATTTCAAATCAAACACTCTTGCTTATTTTCAAAACAAACACCAACACTTTCAAAAACACTTTCAAAACATTTTCCAAACATGAAACTTTTTCAAAAGATCAACACTTTGTATACGTTCTTACGCACGAGAACTATTACAAAGTTTGCCTAAATGATGGCGCCTTTTCAAAATACTTTCAAAAACCACACAAAGCACATTTTCAAACAAACGCAGGTGATCTAGCAAGCAACTAAGAGCCCATAGATAACTATCGATGAAAAGGGTGCTAACACCTTCCCTTTTCATAATCTACCCTCAAACACAAGAAGTAATCTCAAAGGTCTTTCATGTTCTTTTCAGCCTTTCCTTTTGGATAAAATAAAAGTCGATGGAGACTCTTGCTAACTGCAACATTTACGATAAAATGTAAAACACCAAAGTCAGTTCTCCCACCGTATCACAGAACTGGCGACTCTGCTGGGGAAAATCTTAAAAGTGGGGTTACCTTAGGGATAGATCACCTTTACTTGCTTTCATTATTTGAATTGATTGCTTTACATTTTGGTTCCTTGTTTGGGCTTGTTCTAATCCTCTACCCGGATTTAGGATACCTTATAGGTAAGTAGCAATACGTTATGGAAACTGTACGGGGTATACCGACATGGTCTAAGAAATAGCTACGTTAGTGTGACATATTTGTGGGTACCGATAGCCCTTGA